GGTAAATCTCCAACCAGATATGAGAAATCAAAATCCATGTGGTTCTTTCATAGCAAGGTGTTCATACACAGAGGTTTAAAACGTAAACATAGGAGAAAATAGGAATAAAAACAATGCGTGTAATTGGCACTGCACTAGTTCCTTTGCAATCAGGAAGGTAATTGGCTAAGTTTAAACAAGCAAATAACTAACACATCATTGAGAAGCCTGGCATTTGATCTCTAGTTTTAGCACAGTGCTTAATAATAACAATATGGCAACTAGCTCCTTATTATTGAAGAGAGAGGAGCCATAGTAACAAAATCTTACTGCATGCACAAGGAATCCAAATAAATGTTTATTCAATTCCTTACCACAATCTAGGGTTTGTAATTAAATTCATACAAAATTCCAATGGGTCATAAAGATTTGTGACTTTTCATTGTCTATTATCTTATTCCTGAGTTTCCTCATGGGCCGGGCCTGAGCTAAAATCTCCAGGGTGTGCAAAGTCTCTGCATCACACACTTCCAATAGAGATTGTGCTCTCTCGAGCTCCAACCCAGCACGAGTCAAACCCTTCTCTCCTTCTGTCTCTTTCTCTCCCTCTCAAGCTCCTGCCTTCTATCTAGGTAGTTTGTCATATTCTTTTTCATCAAGTGTCATGACTGAATAGTGGAATGGGGAACTTTGGATCCTTAGGGCAGAAATGGCTTGGGTGACCAGCCTTTGTGATGGATTGGTTTTTGGGTGGAATATGTAAAAATAAATAAATAAGTAAAAAAAGAATCATATCACTGGGCCTCTTTGAAGGTATACATCCTACTAGTATAGCTCCTGTACCTTATTACTCCAAAAAATGTTAATTATATTTTAAAAGGCCATTTTTTAATTATTTTGGCCTCGGAAATTACCTGTCATAAGGAATGGAGGTATGAAAGAAACACTTATGTTCCTCCATGTGTATTTGTTTAATGAATAGAGGAATTGTTCCAAAAATGTTTTATTACAACAGAACCTGTTGTGGACAAATCAACTATGTGATACAATAACAGAAGAAAATTTATAAAAGTATAGTCAGCCATAATTTCAATCTTATGGATACATGTGAAAAAGATGCATTACAATATTGCCTAACATATATTAGAAATCAATTTAGAGGATGATACAATAAATTTTTGTGATATACTCAATTATAATTGTTACGCTGAGTTGACTTAAAATATATTTGCACTATAGAGTAAGAGTTATTATTAGACACTTGACAAGAACACATAAAGTGATTTGAAGAATAGGAATTTTGAAAAGGACATTACGTATCAATCAACTAATTTATATATCAAAACCATCTACTCTGCTTGCAGTAGAATGTTGACCCTTGTGGTGATTTAGAGATAAGATACTGTCCCTGGCCTGGAGAGATAACCCTTAAGAACACTGATGCCTACTAATGTCATGTGATTTATCAAATTACATACAGTTAGATGGTAGCAGAGAATGATTGAGAATCATCAACAAAGGATGTGATTGTTTTAGTTTAATTATTTATTTATAATTCTAACAGAACTGTACATCTCTAGAGGTCACTTTAAGACATTATATCTCCTAGATGAGAAGCAGGAAGAAGAAAGCTGGAGATTTATAAAATTGGATGGAATGTGAGTGATTAATCAATGACATCAGCATGGCTGAAAAAATAAAAAGGAGAGTGAGCTGCCAAGTTTAGAAAAGGGGAACCACTGTGATTCGAAGATCTCCCATGAGGAAATGTTACCTAACTATCTTACTTGGAAAAGATATAACTGTAATAGAGACTGGTGCATCAGGATCTCAAAACAAAATTTGTAGGGCCGTTAAGACCATGCAATTAATTCCCTTCATACTGGATCCATGCTTCTGAAGACAACTCTTGATTAACATTAGAGTTATCCTATGATATAATCACAGGGAAAAAAAACCACAATGTGAAAGTGACTATTCCTTTAAATTTGATAATTAAATTTTTATTTAATCATTTAGCATTCAATGTAATGAATCCAATTTCATTAAGAGACATAGAACAGGCCAAAATTTCTGTTTTATCTTGTGTCAATTTTAAAGAAATTTGTCTACTTTATCTAAATTGTTGAATGTGTTGGCAAATGCTTGTTTGTAATAGTTTCTCATTTTTTCTTCTGCAGAATCTGTAATGATAATCTTTCTTTCATTCTTGAAATTGGTGATTTGTATTCTTTTTATTTTGATTAGTCTAGGAAGGGTTAGTCAATTTTGTTGCTGTTTCCCGAGAACTGCTTCCTCTGTTGTTTTATATTGTTTTGTTGTTGTTTCTTTTCTAATTCATTGATTTCTGCTATCATATTGACTATTTCCTTTCTTTCGCTTTGTTGTGCTCTTTTTCTAAATTCCTTAAAATTCTTTTAGACATGCAAGTCTTGTATCTTTTCTAGCTTTTATGAGACATAATTGACAAATACAATTTTAAATATTTAGGATATACTATAGATATACTATGTAATGTGATGTTTTGATATGCATATACATTGTGAAAGCTAATTAATATATCCATTACCTCATATTACCTTTTTGCTTGTGTGTGTGTGTGTGTGTGTGTGATGAGAATATTTAAGATCTACCTTCTTAGCAAATTTTAGTTATACCATACAGTATTATTAACTACAATCACCATGCTGTCCATTATATCTTTTTTCAAAATTCTTGAGGTAGTACCATAGGGCATTGCTTTTAGATAATTCTTCTTTGCTTATATAAGCATTTAACACTATAAATTTTCCATAAAAGCACTGTTTTAACTTCATTCCAAAAATTTTAATGTAGTAGAATTATAATTATTGTTGTTTTAAGTATTTTATAATTTTCCTTGTAACTTTTAATCACCCCTGTTTTTGCTATTATTGTTGAAGAAAAAGTAAATCATGTGCCCTACTCTTGAACCAACACTTTGGTAGTTAAATTTATTAACACCACGGACAGGTTTAGCATAGATTTATAATTATATCATGTGGATGGAAGGATATAGGAAAGACTAGATTATACGCAAATCTAGTATTTCCTACATTAAAAATAATTTGATTTTTTGTTCCATTTCTTAGGCTACTTTTATGAACTTGCACTAAGGCAAATTTTAAAAATCTAGAAAACAATACAGAATGATTTTGTGAATATAAATTTTAAGTCAAAGAAATTCTTTGTTGGAAAACAAAATATCCCTGTGGACAACAAAATATCCCTGTGGATTCAAAACAAGAACTATTCTAGCTTCATAGAGGCACTATTAGGAATGGTGGGAATAATGAATAACACTGTTCCTTTAAATGTTTTTATTAACCCTCACCATCCTCAACTTGGGCTCCTTAATATCAACAACTTCCCAAGTTACTACTTTCTTCTTTCCCTCTTCTTGTATTTCTTTACTTTTTATGTTTGGGGAAAAATAGAGTATGAGAAAATTATACAGTTTGACATCCAAACTCTTTCACAATCTGGTCAGATACACCTCTTCAATTTTAATATGCCTCCATAATTTCTCTGTTCCACCCATTCCCCTCCATCTACCTCTTCTCCCATTCACTAGGATGATACTACCCCTTCTCTTGTACCCTATTTCTATTATGGAGCTATAATATTGTGAGATTCTTTCTATATCTATATCTATATCTATATCTATATTTAAATCTGTATCTATATCTGTATCTAGATCTATATCTACACCTAGATCTATATCTATATCTACACCTGTATCTGTATTTCTGGTTCCTGAGGCAGAGCTACTAAAATCAGTAGTGCTAGGAGACTCTTTTGTTCGAATATTTGATCTTTGACTCTGGTTGCTGACACAGAAGCCCTAAGACATTTGTAATTCCCCGAGTGATAGAAACATCCGATACAAGGTTCCTAAATCCCTTGGAATTTCCTGGGTGATAGGAATGTCTTTTTTTTTCTGACAAGCTGATGCCTCAACTACTGGATAGCCTCAGGATAGGGACTGGTTGCCAGGGGAACCAACCATGTGACTAGAGAGTTGGAACTTCAAGCCTCATCTCCTCACCATCCCCATCTCAGGGGAAAGGAGAGGGTCTGAAGGTTGAGTCAATCACCAACAACAAATAACTTAGTCAATCATACCTACATAATGAAGCCTCCATGAAAGCCCAAAAGGACAGGATTAGAAGAGTTTTCAGGTGGCTGAACACATGGAAATGTCTTGAGGGTGGCACATGCAGAGAGGGCATGGAAGCTCCATGTCCCTTCCCACATACCTTGTCCTATGCATCTCTTCCATCTGTCTGTTTGTCTGCATCCTTTATAATAAATGAGAAAACATAAGTAAATGTTTCCCTGAGTTCTGTGAGCCTCTCTAGCAAGTTAATTGAATTCAAGGAGGGAGTCATGAGAGCCCTGATTTATAGCCAGTTGTTCAGAAGCACAGGTCACAACCTAAGATTTGCAATTGGTGTCTGAAATAGGGGCATGCTTGTAAGACTGAGCCCTTACCTTGTGGAGTCTGCACTAACTGTTTAGTATCAGAATTTGGTTAAATTATATGACACCCAGTTTGTATCCACTGGAGAATTGGTTGTTGGTGTGGAGAAATACCTACATATTTTGGTGACCAGAGGTGAGGTATTTTGTGTTATATGGAATGTGCGAGAGTAGCAAAAAATAGTTTATCTTGTTTTTCTCTCAGGGGCCCTTGATAATTATTTCATTGTCTTGACTCTTTTACTTCTTCAACTCCTTTTCTCAGTTATTATCTCCATTATTAACTTTAAATAACATATTATGTAACATGTACTTTAAAAATACATTAAAGAACTATTATTTAATGTACTTATCTTTTTATATTTTGCCCCAATCTTCCTTACATTCTCAGTATCTGGCACAATTAGATGTTTAATAAATATTTTATCAGGTTATAGATGATGGCGACAGTGATGGATTACAAATCATCATTGAGAGATTGTAGTTCACATATAGCTTGTTTTGTTTCTTTTCTTTTATAGGTACATATAGAGAAGAACAGAAATGTACATACCGATTTCTGATGCAAGGATTCGTCTGCAAACAGACTGACCAAGTGGTCCTAATTCTTGATGGCGCTGATGCCACTTGGGCAATTCAGAAGTTATATCCAGTTGTATCTGTGACTAGTGGTTTTGTTGACATCTTTAGTAGTGTAAATGCCAATATTCCCTGCTCTACCTCTGGGTCGGTGTCTACTTTCTATTCTATCTTACCCACCAGGCAAATCACCAAGGTCTGCTTCATGGATCAAACTCCTCAAGTTTTGCGTTTTTTTCTATTGGGGAACAAAAGTACCTCCAAGCTTCTCTTGGCTGTATTCTACCATGAGCTCCAGAACCCCCACGTCTTCTTAGGGGAAAGTTTTATACCACCTACTCTGGTTCAGTCGGCTTCCTTATTGCTGAATGAATCTATTGGTGCCAACTATTTCAACATCATGGATAACCTCTTGTATGTTGTACTACAAGGAGAGGAGCCCATTGAAATACGCTCAAGTGTTTCCATTAACTTGGCCCTCACTGTGATGGTTTCAGTCTTAGAAAAAGGCTGGGAAATAGTAATACTCGAAAGACTAACTAACTTCTTACAGATTGGCCAAAACCAAATCAGGTTTCTTCGTGAGATACCTGGCCATGAAGAGACCTTAAAGGCCATTGCTGACAGTAGAGCAAAAAGAAAGCGCAATTGCCCGACTGTGACTTGCGCTAGTCATTATAGAAGAGTCAGTCAACGCAGGCCTCTCATGATGGAAATGAACTCATATAGGTCTTCACCCCCAACGACTGTGGAAACGATGTCAAAAGTGATTGTCATTGAAATTGGTGATTCGCCAACAGTAAGGAGTACTGGAATGATTTCATCCTTATCAAGTAACAAATTACAGAACTTGGCTCATCAAGTCATCACTGCTCAACAGACTGGGGTACTAGAGAATATTCTGAATATGACTATTGGGGCCTTACTAGTTACTCAGTCAAAGGGAGTCATTGGCTATGGGTAAGTACTAATTATATTCACATCCAAATGAGGGTGAGGGCTGATAATATTGACATATGTTGCAAAAGGGCTGATTTTTTAGGTCCATATTGACATATGTTGCAAATGTCAGTGTACTTACACTGAATCATATAACTCGTCTGCTTTTTAAGAATAAAAATTCAAAGCGTCATTTAAAGACTTAAATTCTTAGTTTTTAGATTGTGTATTAAATTCATATTTTTCATGATTATTCTATTTCCAAGGTGGTAGAAAACATTATATTTTGATTCCTTAAAGTGAAAAGCATGTGGGAAGAGATTTTTTGGAAGCAACTTGTTTTTAGTTCATTTGATCATTTATTTATTTATTTAATGAATTTAAGCAATAGACTAGGTTCTAGGGTTGGTAAAGTGAAATAGATATTATTCTGTTGCTACTGCTATATCATTTTATTTGTGATAGTGCTAATAAGCTATTAGTATTTAATGGGTAGTGATTACTTCTATACAACCATCAACCATCTCCAATGGATGTGGAATTCGGTAGAACTTAAATAAAAAGCAAAACTAAAAAGAAAACCACGTCCTCACACTTGGATAAATATTCAGCTAATACATTGATTGTCCTTTTGTACACAGAGCAACATATCTAAGTGAAAGTTTAGCTAGTGTTTTTGTGTTTATAATAGAGATAGATGTTCCTCTTTCCTGCTATACATTGATATATAGAGAAGATGAGAAAAAATACAAGCATATTTTTCTGGATCTGGTTGATTTTAAGGCCTTTGGGAATTGTTAACTTAAAAGGTACTCATAGCTTATTATTATCACAACTTACTCAATTTTGGGTATTTTTGTCAACTACCAAACCTTCACCATGTTAGTGACGTTATAATATTATGTATGGTGGTATGAGGATTAGAATGCTTAAAGGAATGATGCTGATGGATGTTAGCTTACATTTAAGTATTTTTCCATTAGCCCAATTTTATTTAGGTCCCACTGAGTTCTTGTAAGTATATTATAAGTATACATACATGAATAATTTTTGTCTAGAGAGAAAGAGAGTCAGTTTATTGCTTAATTTTATTTAGATTTTACAGTACTGAGCTTTCTAAAAGGTGGTAATTCCAAAATGACTGATTTTATATTACATATAAAAGAAGACTCAGTGAAGAATGTGCTTTTAACTAGAAACAGAGAAAAGTCAATGAGTAGAAGCAATAGAGCTATGTCAGAGGAAAACCAGCAGAGAGTGGATCCAGCACAAATTTAGGTATATACACACATATATGTAGGGCATGCCATTCTATCATGAAGAAATGAAATAGCTTCAAAGAAAAGATTGCTTTTATTTGTCACCCACCATTTGTCATAGCCGTCATGTTTTTTTACTTTTGACTCAGTTATTTCTGATTTAATAAGAAAGAGTTGGAAGTGTAAAATACAGAATTGATTTTGTGTTGCAATGTGTTCTATCCCCCCCCTTTTTCTTTAGTATTTTAAAAGATATTTTCTAGACATAAGGCAAAGATTAAATCTTCTGAAGATAAGGAAGGGCTGCTTCTTAAGTATATCTGAACAAACCTCTCCCGAATGAGAAATGCCATATCCTATGGCATTCAATGAGAATTAGCAAGGTTTCTCATGTTTCCCAGTGTTGCACAGTATGATAAAAAACAAAACAAAACAAAACCATAAAACCTGACACAGGCCCCAGAGCCAGCCTTGTTTCTTTCAGCTTTATCACAGTCAGCTGGGTTTTCCACTGAACTCACTAGAGAGCTATTGACGGGCCAATGAACTGACCTTAAGCCAGCAGAAATGAGTCTAGGAATGCAGCGCTTTCATGGAAAAGTACCAAGGATGTTCTCCAGTGGTTTGCTCTTGTTAATTTAATGGGGTTATATGCATTTCAACAAATTCAGGCCATACTGGACTCATTTTTCTAAGAGAGTACTAGCTACTTTCAAAAGCTACCAACTTTGGGCCGGGTGTGATGGCTCACACCTATAATCGCAGCACTGTGGGAGGTGGAGGTGGGTGAATAGTTTGAGTCCAGGAGTTTGAGACCCACCTGGGCAACATGGTGAACCCCATCTCTACAAAAACACAAAAATTAGCTGGACATGATGGTACATGCCTGTAGTCTTAGCTACTTGGAAGGCTGAGGTGCGAGGATTGTTTGAGCCTGGGAGAGGGAGGTTACAATGAGCTGAGATTGTGCCACTACACACCAGCCTGGGTGATAGAGCCAGATCTTGTCGAAAAAAGAAAGAAAGAAAGAAAGAAAGAAAGAGAGAAAGAGAGAAAGAGAGAAAGAGAGAAAGAAAGAAAGAAGCTACCAACTCTGTTTTGTGGGAAGAGATGGAGTAGCTGTCTACTTTCAAAGTAAATAATACACAGCGAACTGGCCTCTTCCAGTCTTTATCCTCCTCTAGAGGTATCTGGATTCAAGCTTCCTCTGCTTAGCTAAGTTTCCATCACCATGTTTTCCAACTTCCAAAACTTTGTTGACCTCCGTTGTCGTTTGTTGTCTTCTTGCATGCGCCATGGTGGTATTCTGCACCTATCAACCCGCTATTTACGTTTTAAGCCCCACATGCATTAGGTATTTGTCCTAATGCTCTCCCTTCCCCTGCTTCCCACCCCACAACAGGTTCCAGTGTCTGATGTTTCCCTCCCTGTGTCCATGTATTGGCATTATTCACCTCCCACTTATGGGTGAGAACATGTAGTGTTTGGTTTTCTGTTCCTGTGTTAGTTAGCTGAGAATGATGGCTTCCAGCTTTGTCCATGTCCCTGCAAAGGACATGAATCATTCTTTTTACGGCTGCATAGTATTCCATGGTGTATATGTGCCACAGTTTCTTTATCCAGTCTGTCATTGATGGGCATTTGGGTTGGTTCCAAGTCTTTGCTATTGTGAATAGTGCTGCAATAAGCATAGGTGTGCATAGGTCTTTACAGTAGAATGCTTTATAATCCTTTGGATATATACCCAGCAGTGGGGTTGCTGAGTCAAATGGTATTTCTTGTTTTAGATCCTTGAGGAATCGCCACTCTGTCTTCCACAGTGTTTGAACTAATTTACACTCCCACCAACAGTGTAAAAGTATTCCTATTTCTCCAGAGGCTCACCAGTATCTGTTGTTTCCTGACTTCTTAATAATTGCTGTTCTGACTGGCATGAGGTGGGATCTCATTTTGGTTTTGCAGGGACCTCAATTCTATAGAGTCATAGGAAATACATTCTTCTAACAACCTGTTTGGAAGTGAACTCTTCAGCAAAGCCAGCAAAGCCTCTCTGGACTCCTGGCCCACTCCCTGGAGATAACACATTGGTGTTACTGTAAGCCGCTGACTGTGGTAATTTGTTATACAGCAATAGAAACTAATATGCCGTGTCACATAAAGCTCTTTGTTCATGACATTGCCATGAACTTTGGGCTATTAAAATAGTTACCATGAGGGTGAGCATGACACTGTGGGAGTGTTTATCTGTGTATGTGCAACATGTATATACTTATCACATTAGTAGTGTGTTTTTAAGTTCCCTCATTCTGCATAAGGAGCACCCTATCAGGTTACTTTGGAATAGAGAAGAAAACCAGGAGAGCCAATAAATTATACAAGTCTTTTGGCATTCAGTCACCTTTAACATTTTCTCTTCTGCATCTTCTCCTCTTTATGCATGCTGGGCACCTGCCTTGTAGAAGACAGCTGTTTGGAGCATGAAATAGTAGACTGTTTCTATCAGCAAGGAAGTACGTTCTTTTCAAGACCGGCAGAATGTGCATCCTAGAAGAGATTCCTATACTACTGGCTTGTCTCTGTTCTTCCCCATGACAAAAACCACAACTTTGCCATTAAAGAGTGTTTTTACATCATTCCTTCTTTTCACTGCAGTACAAATACGCTACTTTGTTTAATTGGGTCAATGGCAAAATTATTGCAATCTTACTTCATATGTGTGGCTTCGTGGGAAAGTGAGATGTTCTACGTAAGCAAGCTTTCTATACAATTAAAAATTGTTCCATTAATAACAAGCATTTTTAAGTCTTCAACTCTTAAACATTAAAAAAAGACAAAGATTGCATAATATTCAGACTTATTAAATGGGAAATAATGTAGACTATTCACCTTTGTTATGATGATTCATGGTCATCATCAAATCTGTCATTTACTTCACAATCCTGTTTTTGCAGTGATGCCCTTGAGTACTATTTTTCTTACACTGAATGGCGCCAGACCACTACATCTTTAATTCTTGTCCTGCAGTTTATATTTTTTTCTGCTATTTTATTGTGAACAGGATGTTAATTATAATCTATTGTTGCTGTTGACACATCCACATCCAGAAAAGTTCTAATTCCAAAATCAGATGACACTACCTTAAAATCAATTAATTTAAGAATTATTTGTACACATGGTGAACTCGCAGGTAAATATAATAGACTCTTGAAAGCTTATATTTCAATGTTTTTTATTCCCCAATGTTAACTGAACAGCTATAATGTTCAAAACATCATATGGTCCCTGTAAGAATCTAGAGATTTGAAAATTAATGGATATGAAAAACAGCATTTATTCAACTATTTAATGAGAAGATGTTATACTAAATCTCATTCCATATCTATTACAAATAAATCATTAATTCTCTATGAAGCTGCTTAACCATTAATCCAGTTTTTCATAACATTAACTTGAGTATAAAATGTTAATCTTTATAATATTTATTAGGTGATCAAGGTTTCGACTTATGATTATATTCCCAAGTGTGCCTAAGCACATTGTAAATCACAATAAATTATCATTCAATATATCACATTTAGTGAAAGGTAGCCTGTTTTACTTTTCTACTATTCTAAAACCCCTGTGCAACCAATATCTTGAATTAAATCTCTTCCATTAGAAAGACCTTGAGTGATTTCTGTTTTCCTGAACAGACTTATGACTGCTACAACTCCCCAGGATAAACAGGAAATTTTGGTTATTTTGCATATGATCTTTAAAAATGCAGAGTTTTCATTCTCCTAGATAAAATAGTCATGCTAGGTTTATTATAAAATATTGTTTTAAATGATTTGCCAATTAAAATACTTAGGTTTTTGTCCCCTGATTTTTTGCTTATAATTGATTTTACTTATCTTTCATTGTCCTTATGCCCTGTTAAACCCGTCTAGGCTTCCTTAGCAGCTAGTCAACTCCTAAGAGGTGTTTTTGTCCCCTGAATTGTTGGAAGACGTACAGTGTTTATTCTGTGTCTTTATATACTTCTGATCCACCTCAAGTTACACCTAAGGTTACTGAAATCTCGTTTTTAAATGAATAATTCCATGGAATCACAAGAGTTTAATCAGAAGTATCACAGAATAGAAGTAAGCACACTGCTTGAGGAGTGCCCCAGAATGTGAAGTTGAAGGCCAAGATGAGTGGTAGTTTTTCAGAGGCAATTAGTGACCTAAGAACAGAGGGAATGCATAATGGGTACTGATTTGGCAAGTGTTACTATAGCAACATGTACTGGGTGCTTACAATATGCCAGGCTTGGAACCGCTAGATCACAGTGCCAGAAAAAAACTGTCAGATCATAAGACATTTCTTCCCTCTTAGGAGTTGGCTATTTGCTAAGGAAGCCTAGATAGGTTTAACAGGGAGCATCAGGACCATGAACGGTAAGAAAATTGCATCTATCAACTCAGAAGGATAACCAGAAAAGTCATTCTTGTCATACAAATTATATAGAAGCTTATTCTCGAGGGGGAGATCATGGTGTTCTATATCTTTGCATATCTCACAGTGCCTTGAACAATGTTTGTACATAGTAGAAGGGTTAACATATATTTGTTAAATATATAGAAATATGTTCACATTATATTTGTATTTTCCCTATATTAACATAATACATATATTTTAGATTTTTTTAGAATTGACTAAAGAATTTACTTTTTTCTTTCAGGGTACAAAATTGCCCAAAATCATTTTACAATTCAAGTCCCCTTGTGGTACATATAGAATATTCGGCCTTATCTAGCCTATTTAAAACAAGAGAGATAAAAAATGCTCAGGACATCCTGAAGCATTCAATCAAGACATGAGGCTTTTTATAGGAACTTGGCTTAGTAGCTTTGAGCAGAAGGTTGAAGACAGAGTATCTCTGATTTCCACCCCAACTTCACCTCACCCCACCCCACCACAGTAGGTCTTGCTGAGAGCCAGTTTTCACTAATAAAATTTATTTGCTCTTTAAGTTTTCCATGCAGATAGAAATAATTCCGTCTTCTACAAGGTAAACATTTCAGATCTGGTGGAAATGAAAAGCAAGAGTTGACATGAATAGGAGTGATCTCTTAATTGGGAAATTTCTGTATTTTCTTGGCTTTTCTCCTTTAGCCTGCATTTAAGTGTTGTCGAAAAAAAAAAATTCTTTCACATACCTAACTGGGTATTGGAAGCTGTTAAATAATGGTAAAAACTGGGATGAATGGAGGGAACTTTTCTCCCCCATTTTTTAAAGTTTGGCTGTAGGTCCTTCTGCCTGCAGGCTACAGTCACATTAGCAGTTGGAAATTGGATAACGACAGCACAATGACAAATCCAGGTTGCTTGCAATAAGTTGCTAATCCCTTTGCTTTAATATTGGAGCAGCATGTAATGATGTTTGGACATCACTCCAGTTTACTGACGACCCCACTGGGGCCAGCAATAGAACCTTACAACTGTCTAACAAGGCGTCAGGTGACTCCCGTCGTCACAGCAACGGACACTGGAATCTAATCTTCCCTCCATCCCTTCTAGCACCCAATAACGCCTAGATTATATAAGTGGCCCATCATTGCTTGGTAACTTGAATCAATTAACGTTAATTCGCACAATGCTATGATGTATTGTGATCACTTTCATTTCAAGGAAGGGGGAGAAATTGCTATAAGTCACCTAAAATGAGGTTGTCTGTGGTGCTGAGGTATTAATTGGGTGTCCATATTAAATGCAAAAGGAGCCCCATCGTGAAAGGAAAGTGGATGAGTGACTCTCTTGGCTGCTATTGACCTATCAGAAGAAGACAGTGCCCTTTTCCTTTGCTTTTATCTATTACAGTTTTCCCTATTGCGTGTCAAGTTGATGTATTATAAAAAATTCATTTGGTGACCTTTCACCCCCTTAGCAGATTAAACAATTTCACTTCGATGGCATCATTAACAGGACCCTGCATTTAATGATGATTTCTCTAAAAGGCCACGGAGATTCGATTTTAAGCTAACAGATTTATTGCACTATTATAACATATCGTAAAAAACTGTACCACCTACAGTCAGGTTTTAGGACAGAAACTGCTTAAGAGTTTATGTGGAGCTTAAAGTGGTATTACCTTGGGATATGCTGCAGCAGCAAGTCTGTGACCTCCAGTGAGATGCTGTTTACATTTAACAAGAGATGTTTGCTCACAATAAACTTTAAAGTGTGTCAGGAATGGGCCTTTTAGCGTGTGTTCAGGCAGTTGGTTTCCCTCCCTTCGTCTCTAGACGTCAATGTACTTATGTCAGAATCTTTGATGGAGTCTTTCAGTTTCTTTAACCCAGACTGCTTGCCTGCATCCTAGCCCCCATCAGAAAGAATTTAAGGAAAAAGATTAGGGGAGAAATAGGATCTGATAACAACGTTAGAATTTTCTAATAACCTGGAACCCACAGAAGGATAGAATTAATAGCATGGATTTTTAAAATCTGGTTTAAATGGTTCCCTTTAAAAAAGGAAAGGAGCCCTAGCCACTCAGGCTAAACAAACTAAGAAATGATGTTGAGGCTAGTGTGTGTTGAATTCCCAGGGAGTGATTCCAGCCAAAAAGCCAGGGTCTTCGCTGGTAGATGACTAAAGAGCTTCTTAGGACCACATATTTGCACTCTGCCCGCATTTCCTAGGATTCCTAGGGGAGAAGAAAATTGCTTCCTACGGAAACTTCATATTTAGTGATCCCTTGTATTTGCTCTCCCACTATTTCTTCTTTCGGAACAAATCTTCGCTTTTTCCTGACATGCACCCTCCACGTTAAATAAATACTTTATCCTTTCCTCCTCGTGTAGGGAAGGGGAGGTAGTTAGGAGATAGAATAGTTGACTTATAAACATTAAATGGGAGAAAGCAAAGTAGGCTATTTTAAAAATAAATAAGTAAATAAATAAATAAATACCTCATGAGACCTGGCCCAGGTTATTGAGGATAACTCATCAAGGAATGCTCTATGTCAGGGTCCTATATATGATATATGATGTCCAGGTGCCTCCATTTAGTTGCCAAACATCTGTTGCATGCCTATGATGTGTAATACACAATAGACTTAATGGGACAATAGGTGTATAATTTTATTTTAATGATGCAAGCTCTGTCATCAAAAATGCCAAAACTCTGAGTGACACATGTTTTACACTGTCATGAAGTATATAACTATTTTGTAAGTGTTCCATTTTGTTGCTAAGTCATGTCAGCACTTAGTATGTTCAAAGGAAGTGAGAAGCAATATAGCTCGCTGGTTAACCACTCTAGATCTCAGTCAATACTTACTATTTGTAGGACCTTTGGCAAGTTATTCAAGCCTTTTTGGACCTCAGCTTCTTCATATATAAACAAGAGTACCCACCACATAGTGTCATTTTAAAGATGCAATGAAATTATACATGAACACTTTATCATGGAACTTGGTATACAGTACATGCTCAGTAAATGGCAATTATAAGTATTATTCTCCTCAGATGCTTCATGCAACTGAAGTAAATTAATTCATTAATGCTATTAATAGTTATTGAATCCATTTAGTACAAGCACACTCACAGAATATAAATACGGTTTGTTGTGAAGATTAAATGAGCTCTTCTGTGTAAAACAGTGGTGTACTGGAGTTTGCTGTTGGGTGTCTCTTCCCAGCTCTGCTCAGTGGTAGTATCTTGTCATCTTGGAATTAGCTATGGTGGTAGTATTTATATCACGGAATTGGAACACACCCACAAATCAGGGCATTATTTGGGAAAGCTGATTTAATAGCTTACTATTGGACATGTCCATGTCCTCTCATTTTAGTCTGAGGCTTTTATTATTATTATCTATATGAGTTTGAGGCTAATTTTCACTGAGACTTTTGTTTTTTGACTGATTTTAATAAATGATAATAAAAATATACACTCATAATTTGTGATTTTCCCTACCACCCAGTCCATTTTCATTATAGCTAAGAAAACATATCAAATACATACATAATTAACCTTTGCTATAAAGCCATGTTCACTACACAGTGTATTATTTTCTAGAAACACAGACAAATGCAAATATTTTCACTGGTAATAATGGATTGTGGAAAATTGCTACCATAGGGATATATGTAATCCCAAGGATGTATTTTGTTTGTTTTTATATCTGCCAGAAATTCAAGCAGTTTTAAAACTGGGAACTTGATATATATTCGGCCCTATGTACTTTCCGTCCTAGTCCAGCCTTCAGATGGAGAAGTGGGAAATGAGCTTCCAGTGCAGCCACAATTGGTATTTTTGGATGAGCAGGTAACGTTTCACAGGAAGCAATCTGTCTTTAGAGCTAAGTAGCATGTAGCATTCAGTCTGTCTTTTAGAGTGTGTCATCACTGATCCAGATTTACAGAGTGCCCACTGTGTGCAATTTGTTGCACTTAAGAGCTTCTCACTACTTTCACATTTTTCCTTCCACTTCACAGCCTGCCTTCCTTCTATTTTCTCTGGACATTCAGAATTTGATGAAGGGTAAAAATAAAATTCTGATAATTTCCCCCCCCAACCAAATTCTTGAAGCAGGTCTGTCACATCTCTGAAATCTAGCCTTCACAAAGAAGTAGATCTACATCTGAAGAAGTTTTTCATATGTTAATGAAGGAACTTATGACATTATAGATACATTACAGTTTTATGTTTTTTTAAATAATCTCTCTTATATGTGGTTAAGTAAAACAAGAAGTTTCTGTGCTTAATTCTAATTTCAGGCTTTGCGTCCTGATTCTATTTTATCTTTTCAGTATTTACAAAATTCACAGTGAACTATGATTGTTGAATTGGCTTTCTCCTACTTACAAATGCATCCCCTGACATATTTGCAGAGAGAAATCTGTGGCACTGAGGTCCACACTTGGAATCCTGTAAACTTTGATCTAGTCTGGCACTCACCCAGCTCTCTCCTGTTTTCTTCTCTTTACCTTTCCTTTCTTATGAACCTTCAGCACATAGTACCATTCTTTTCTATAAACATAGTTTTCCTTTCCTCTCCTCACTGTTCTGCCCCAACTTGTCTTGCAATAATTTCCTTACTCATATATAAGTTAATTCTGATATATTCTTAACATGAGAAAGACAACATTTATTTATCACTTTCTTTCCTTTATTTCTACTGAATATGTTCTTTATAAAAGCATATATCTGAACCATCTAGTTTCCTAACTTCACAAAATTCTCTTCTGAATCCAACTTTTTCTTTCTCCCTCCTCCTATTCCCATTTCTAGAACCGAAGAGTGGAGTCCCTGGGGCCCCCTTCAGAGCCATGGACAATTTCAGCTTCCCTGGAAGGAGCATCAGACTCAGTGCTAAAAGGTAGGTAAAGTATCTGTAAATTTCAGGTATCTGTTACCACTTTATCTGCACATAAAATATTTGCACCCATTAGGAATTCATAGCAAAATTGGTAATACTGAATTTCTTCAGTAATTTGGAAGGAAACTCCTTCATCCCTAATCTACAGTGTCAGTGTCTGTGAAAAGGAAGATTAGGCTGGCAGGAAATCCCAAAGTCACCACCTTTTCTCCCCCTTCCCTTTCACAATAAAGCAACATTTTCAACATATCTGTATCCTTAAGGTAGTGTAAGGAAAAGTGCATGGCATTTTTGGGTGAGTATCAAATCCTAGGTTTTCTGCAGTCCACTCAGTGCCCCCATGACACACGCTTATTTGGTACAGTATTATGGACTGGGCCAGGGAGCAATTTACCAAGTACAGTATGATTTCTATGGGGAAATAGAAAGACTTGCTCTCAGTGGTATGAAGAATAAATGTGATGATAAATGCAAAAGCAGCTGACTCATAGCAGCCCTCAGAGTTATTTTTTCTCCTTTTGATCTTTGTCTATCCTCTTTTGCCTTCCTGTTCTATCCCAGAACCACTGCCAGCTCCACTTACTTTCCTTGAAGCTTGTTTATGTGAAAATCTATTTAAAATGCAGATTTCTACTAGGCCTAAGATAGTTTGGCTACATATTCTGCAGAAGGACCCAAGAATGTGCATTTTAGGGCTTGGTCTAGAGAGAAGCAAGCAGGTATAACATGGTTTTTATGGGAAAAATAGTTTCTGAGTTCTAAATTCCTATCTAACCCCCTCACACACAAAACCATTGAAATACACCCTACTCAAAGAGGCACATATTTCTTTATTATGAAGTAGTTCAATCATTGTGTTTTTATGTTGTAAAACAGTACGATATGTTATCCACAGAAAATATGTTAAGGAGAATGTGTTTGCGAAACAGAATTAAGACAAAGGAGCCTCATGACTAAGGGAGATCAAGGGAAGAGGTAAAGTGAGAGAGGTGCTGGAGCCAGACAGACAACAGAGGACTTTGGGGACCACAGTGGGGAGTTTGGGCTGCACTCTCAGTGAGATGAAGAGCCGTTGGAGGTTTTAAGCAGGCCAGTTCCAAGGTCTGACTTGCATGTTTAGAGGATCACTCTCTTCTGTGGAGGGTGGATTGGAGAACCGCAAGAGTGAACCGCCTGAGCCAGTTAAAAAGTGATTGCAAAAGGCCAGGCAAGAGATGGTGGAGATCACAAGTGGATTAATTCAGAATGTCTTTCAGAAGTTGAATCAGCAGAATCTACTGGGAGCAAAGAAAACAAGGACTTAAGGACAACTTTTAGGTTTTGATTTTGTTATATTGGGTGGATATTGGTGTTATTTACTGAAATGGGGAAGACTGGATCGGGAGCAAAAAGCAAGAGTTTTTATGACGAAAAACACGGAAAGGTAAGTACAACCTGGCTGCTGGGCCAAATTAAGACTCAGGCCCTTTTGATTTCAGTTTTAAGGCAGCAAAAGCAAGAGGTTCTGTTTTACAATTAATATACTTTGTGTTCCAGGTGTCACAAGAGAGTTTTTTGTCCTCTTACCGGCCTCCCTCCAACATAACCCATACATTATTAATCATGCTTCCTACCAGGAGCCTTCTCCCTATTGTGTGCAGTCAATCGCCCAACACATAGATCTCGCCTGACAGCCTCAAACTCTTCATGCATAGGGGTTGCCTCTCTGCACAAGCGGCCTCACAATGATCACAGCACCTTGAAATTCTTCCTCTGCTCATGGATAGGATTGTGTATTTCCTTCTCATCAGAGGGAGTCCCAATCATGCACAATAGTACAGTCCAAGTCGGGGCTTCACCTTGAGGTGAAGAGAAATTCATTTTATGTCAACCTGATATAACCTAGAATAGGAGGGTTCAGTGGAACATTTTAAAATCATCTCCTATATTCGGATAGGGAGCCAGAGATTACAACAGTCTGAAAAAGAGGATCTGTTAAATTTCTTTAATCTCTCCCACTAGTTTCAATGAGAAAATTTTAAAAATGTCCCAAGAATCCAAACGGATTAAAAATGATTTTTAAGGTAGATGGAAAATATCCTCAGAAAGGAAAGCATTCACTCCCTTCCCCACAACTTCTAGGTCAGATAGTTTTCAAAAATCCTTACAGGGTCCCAGTAAAAGAATAGAGCCAATGGGTTTATCTTGACTCCTTGAATTCAGAATTGTTGAATAATTCTGACCAAGAGCTAGGACTCAAGCAAATCTCTGCACTAAATATTGTGTTGCTATTTTAGATGAGAAAGAATTGATAAATTCTTTGTGATTTCAAATGTGATTTGAAAATAATGTTTTCAGGCTGGGCATGGTGGCTTGTGCCTGTAATCCCAGCACTTTGGGAGGCTAAGGCAGCTGGATCACTTGAGGTCAGGCATTTGACACCAGCCTGACTAACATGGTGAAACCCCGTCTCCACTAAAAATACAAAAATTAGCCGGGCATGGTCGGTGCATTCCTGTAATCACAGCTACTTGGGAAGCTGAGGCATGAGAATCACTTGAACCCGGGAGGCAGAGGTTGCGGTGAGCCAAGATGGCACCACTGCACTCTAGCCTGGGTGACAGAGCAAGACTCTATCTCAAGAAAAAAAGAAAATAATGTTTCAAAATATGCATACTATACAAAGAGATATATATCAGTAACGGTAAAATTTTTTTAAAAAAGAAAATAACAGTTATTTGTTTTAAGCACAGTTATCTATTATTACCATGATATTTGCCTATTATAATAGGGGAATAAGTAGGAAATCTTGTTAACTTTTGCAAATCCTTCTTTCTAGAAGTGTGATTTCAAGCACTGGCTTTTTATGCAGTTAGTATTGTAATTATAATGATGCATCCTTTGAGATTTGCCAGTAACACATTGAAAGGAAGTTTCATACCAATAAATCACTGAAAATTATAAATTGATATGATGTGTATGTACTTTGTATAATTGGCCAAAAATCCCCATTCTTATGCAAATTTGAGGATGTGTTTACCACTCTTCAAAAATTCGGTTTATGGGCCAGGCGTGGTGGCTCACACCTGTAATCACAGCGCTTTGGGAAGCCAAGGCGAGCAGATCACAAGGTCAAGAGATCAAGACCATCTTGGCCAACATGATGAAACCCCGTCTCTACTAAAAATACAAAAATTAGCTGGGCATGGTGGCACATGCCTGTAGTCCCAGCTACTCGAGAGGCTGAGGCAGGGAAATTGCTTGAACCCGGGAGGTGGAGGTTGCAGTAAGCCAAGATCGCCCTCTGCATTCCAGCCTGGTGACAGAGTGAGACTCCATCTCAAAGCAAAACAAAACAAAACAAAATAAAACAAAACAAAACAAAACAAAACAAAATCAGCTTATCCAATTTCCTGTGCACCTCATGAATCAGGTAAGGCATTTCTCTTGGTTTTGTGTTGTCAAAATGTTTTTTTCAGATTTGGAAATGACTCATGTGCCAGCTCAAACATCAGCCTACCTGCAAAATCACTGACTTCCAAGAATAGGCCATGATTTTACAGTTATTTCTTGCTCTACTCTTGCTATGAGTCTAAGCTCATTCAGATGGTTCCCATAAAATATACAAAATGTTCAAATGGATAGGCATGAGTCAATCATAGATGTGCCCTATTTTGCACTTATTATTGGCCTAAAACCATTCCTATCATATGGTGCACGCTGCCTACCTTTTCTGATGACATTGTTCCTTAATTTTTTGTTATTTGTCTCTTAAGAAACATATAAAATTGTGGTAATAAAGTCTCCAAGTTAATGAATAATCATTTGATGTTGTTTTCAATGAATTAATCTCAGATCTCAGTTTTTTTTTTAATGTCACCATTTAATTTAGCTTATACATTTTGTTTCTGGCAAAGCTACACCTCATCGATTCCAGAAAATGAAATTATCCCCTTCTAAAAATTCTCTTAAGGAGGGCGATTGACATCTCGTGATTAAACAGTTCATAGCTTCAAAACCCTTACTTTTAAAAGCTTGCTTCAGCTTATTGCTTTCTTATTAGAACAATAAATTTTCCCACTCTCTTTTCAATTTGACTTTTTACTATTTTGACCTGTAATTTTTTTACCCTATCTACTTACTTATTAAGATGCCAAATGTTTTCCAGTGAGAATACATGGACACAGGGAACATAATGCATGTGGGGCTTAATACCTAGGTGATGGGTTGATAGGTGCAGCAAACCACCATGGCACACGTTTACCTGTGTAACAAACCTGCATGTTCTGTACCTGTATCCCAGAATTTAAAATAAAATAAAATAATTAAAACAAAAAACAGAACAAAACAACAAGACTCTAAATGTTTTCAGCCTGTCCACAAAAATAATTTTCTACCAAACTTGGAGGTCTTGCTCTCCTCAGTACCCAATCCAAATTTAAAGGCCCAGGTAATGTTGCATATTTTGTCAGAATCTCCCCATAGACTCTCCAGACTTTCCCTTCCACTTACACAATCTATCTTTTGTTCACTTTGCTGAAAGTAACACCTGTGTGCCGAACTCATATTTTTGCTCCTGGCCTTTTTTTTTTTTTTTTTGAGACGGAGTCTGGCTCTGTTGCCCAGACTGGAGTGCAGTGGCCGGATCTCAGCTCACTGCAAGCCCCGCCTCCCGGGTTCACGCCATTCTCCTGCCTCAGCCTCCCAAGTAAGCAGTACAGTTAGAAATTTCTTGAGCTTAAAATCCCAAGGAATGAGGACAGACCAGAACAGAATGGTCCTTGTACAGATTTGTAGACACAAGGCATGTCATTAAGAAAGTAAGAAAATGAAGTGAATTTATCCAAGGTTACCCACTGTGAAGATGAAACATTCAGAATTGCATTCCAAACTGCCTGTTTTGATGCTGTCATTCTGTTCATTTTTCAGTGCCATTTTGCTACTGTTGGCATTTTGGTATAGAAAGTGCTTAGGATATGTAACAGTCACTCACCTTCTGATCTTAATACAGCAGCATAAAA